TTTCGCGGAGGAATTAACAAGAATAACATACATTTGTAATCCCAATATTACATTGTTTTTATAATATAAGGATAATAGGATTCATCTATTTTGAGAATCATAATGTAAAATAATTAGTACATAAATTAAAGTGTTAGTTAATTTTTTATGAAACCAAAGGCAACCATGACCTAGTTCGCACTATTTTATCGTCTATTTTACCTCATCAGCCGGTGACACTATCGTTTTGTCTTTCCGTCGCTGGGGTCGCCACTCTGTTGTATTTTCTGCTTTAGTTTATTGCATCTTGTCAATAGGTGTCGCTACTGTATTTAATTATTTTACAATTACTTAGTATATTTAGTATTAATTTGTATGAATGTTGAATAATAGTGTAACTGTAGTATAGGTGCGTGGAATATTCAATGAAACGCCCAATCGCTTTGACAGCTGGTTTATTACTAATCGTTCAGTGCGCGTGCACACGCACTTATGCATCATTCCTCCCACATCAATTTGAGGACCTGGTGCAAAACACAAACATTTGCGAAATAACCTATAAAATAACAAAGAAAATACAAAAATACAACAAAAAAAAATTAACACAGAAAAATCAAAGCTAAATACTAAATAGAACTATAAACTACTAATAACTTAAAAAAAATCAATAAAAAATTTTATAATCTACTATCTTCCTAGGTCTTAAGTTACGCTTGGGTGAGCTGTCTGTTTGCTCACTTGTACCAGGACACACGGAAGATGTTAGTACTGACGGTTGAGGTAGCGATTGAGCAACGCGTTCAGGCGATTGACCGGGCGTCACCTCACCGCCTTCCAAGACCTTAGCTTCACTACCATGTTCTGACAAATTGATTTCACTGTCACTCGATTGCTCAGGGAGCTCTGTACCTCTTTCTAAATGTGACGACTGAGGTGAAGGCGACGTATGTGACGGCAGTTCTAGTGGAACGACCTGTTCAGGCGCTGGCTGGCCGAGTTGCTCAAGCGCTGGCTTGGTCGGTGACGTTAACGCCTTATCACTACCACTCGACTCAACCTCATTTCCTTTTTGACATTTAATAAGCTGATTTATGTGTATATTACAAG